GAAGCGGTATTGGGTCTGTTGACCCAGATGTTAGCATGATTGCCGGCTGTTGCGGCTCTCCCCGTGGGACCACCGCCAGTTGTGCAAGTGAATCCGCCGGCTGTAGAACGGATGAGGGAATTGCTTGTCTGAGGATCCCATCTTACCTGAAGGTGAAGGACCACATGCAGAAATCAGGGACACAGTTCTTTCCCGGAGGAACTAGAACCGACCGCGCTCTGATACAAACTTGTAGCACCCTAACCCGGATTTTACTTTTTAACTTATACTTAGTCAAATTTCGATCCTGATTTTTACTTAGCATTTTTCACATTTTGTTCGTTCAGGCTGTTTTAGCCGTGCATAACTGGATTAAAAACAGAATACTTGAATTAAATCGAGGTCTTCAGTACAATGATTATTTGCATATAAACTATTACATTGACTAAGACCTTAACTATCCAGATCCTATCATATATTCCTTTCCACCTTTAGTCTGCGCACGCTAATCAGACATTATCCTTACCTGGATCCACAAAGGAGTCATAAGCAAACAGAACTGCTTAGTGAGAGCGGTCATCCCATCTCACCGAGCCAAAGTACAATCGCATTAAACAAAGATCAAGCCCAGTGCTCATCAGAAACAGAAAACTACCCGCGCATGACCATACACGCTTACCCGGCCGATCATCCAGCAACCAGACAAGCCTCGGCGAGCATCACAGCCGCGAGCGCTTGCCTGATATAGATTGCCGGTAAGGTGGATCGATCATCACGGCATAGCCAGCAGAAATGTCATGACAAGCACATAAATACACTCAACCGACTAGAATCTAAGCAAGAATACGACCAAACTAGGCCACGGTCACACACTCACCTTAGCTTTTCTCGGACAGGTTTGGTAAAGACAGAGTTCTTGATCGCTCAGACTTGTTCCACAATCGCTCGGCAGAATACGTATCACGATCGACAGAATCGTACTCGCTCTCGGCCAGAATCGGATATCTCTCGGTAAAACAGACTTTCTCTCGACTAACTTCTCTTAAAATGGTTTCTCTCGATCTTTCTGATTTCCTTGGTCGCGCAAAGAAGAGAAAATGAGACAGAAGCCTTTATTATATAGGCGCTCACACGATTTTCCGCAGAAAACCGCCCAGAAACTATTCCCGCACCAAATCGCACACTCTCTCAGCTAATAACCGCTCTCACGCGTCTTTTTGCCCGATAAATAACCATTCCCGCGCTATCGCTCGCTCGGCTAAAATCCATAACCGTTCCCGCGTTTTTGCCTTAGCATGTTTACCCGATAACCGCTCTCGCGTACACCTGACGCCGACGCAAACTATCTGCTCCCGACCAACCTTGTCTGAATTCCGACCAAGTCCCGAGAAACTTGGCTTGTCGGAATATCCAGCTAAATTTCCCAAAAATCACGGTTAGCTGATTTTAGCTCGACAAAACTCGATTTAGCTTGGTGAAAGCTGGACTTAGCTCGGAATCACCCGACCAAACCCAATTTCCTTGGAATAAACTCATTTTTCCGAACTTCTTCAGTTAACCCCTGGTTTTTTCCCCATTTCTGCTCTACATAACTCATAATTGCCTTAACCAAATTTTCACTTGGTAAGGTTTTCCCAAACACGGGTGTTACACAAACCCCCTTCCTTAATGGACTTGATTTCTTTTAACTCATTTAAATCCTTCACTGCCATGAACTGTTCTTCAGGGAGAGAATCATTAAGAAGGACATCAGCTTCCACTCTTAGTCTAGACACGTGATCAGCTACTCCATTTTCAATGCCTTTCTTGTCTTTGATTTCCATATCAAATTCCAGGAGAAGCAATACCCATCTCAGCAGCCATGGTTTTTCATACTTCTTTGTCATAAGGTACCTCAAAGCTGCATGATCAGTGTAGACCACCACTTTATACCCCACCAAATAGGATCTAAACTTGTCAAAGGCAAAGAAAATGGCCAGCATCTCCTTCTCAGTTGTGGCATACTTCTCTTGAGCTGTATCCAATGTCCTACTGGCATAGTAGATGACATGAAGCCTCTTATCTTTCTTTTGTTCCAGCACAGGACCAACAACAAAGTCTGATGCATCAGTCATGATCTCAAAGGGCAAGCTCCAATCTGGTGCTTGAACAATGGGAGCACTTATCAGAGCTTGCTTGATCTTCTCGAAAACGTCAATGCACTCTTGATCAAAGAGGAACGCCACATCTTTGCATAGATCCCCCAAGTTTTCTCTTGGTCTCTAGAGTCTATGGGTGATAACACCGTATTTTGACCACTTTTATAGATCGTTTTGAAATACTTTTTCTATGTTTTTAATTGCTTTTAAGTACTTTTACGTTTTTCTAGTATTTGTAGTTCCAAGATTCTTTTCAGGTAACTTTCGGAAAAGCTTAAAAAAATGGATAGAAAATCAGATTTCAACTCAGAGTCAAACCATCAGAAGTTCACCCCCGATTGAAGGCCTTCTCACCGTCTGATCCAGCTCAAATTTGGAGATCTTAAAGATGGAAGTATCAGCTTTCCAGCACACTTTACAGCTTGGCAATCCAACGGTTCAATCAAAAGATACGCGAATAGCAAGATGTCCCGTAAACCAGCCAGCAAGCGTTTCCACCTGCGGCCAACAGGCTATTTCCCGCGGTCACAATCATCCCGACCGCGGCCAGCCATCCATTCCCCGCGGTCACACTCATCCCGACCGCGGCCAGCTAACTCCGACTCCGAAGGCCCATTTCTGAAGCCCATATCATTTTCCCATCCTTGATTCCGGAACCCTAGACCCTAGAGATGTCTTGAGCACTATAAATACATGTTTTAGGAACCCTAATTCGTATGACCTCATATGCTCTTATTGTTTTAGAATACTTTTTAAGTTTTAGGTTTTAGGGAGAGAGAGATTTGTCTCTTGAACCCTTGTTCTTTCTTTTTCAATTTCGGTTTCTATTCTACTTTTTAATACTATGTTTTTGATTTCGTTCATCATGTCTGAGTAGTTTTATTGTTGGGATTATGGGATTTTTGATGGGGATATATATGTTCGGTGAGGATTCCATTGGCTTTTGAGCCGAATCTTAAAACTTTTTCTTCTGAATTCGTTTTTACTGCATGAGAGTAGCGTCATGAACTACAATCTGATCCAGATGCTTGGTGAAACGAAAGTGTTCTTCCGGTGTCAGGTCTAGTTTGGGAGAGCAAAACAAACATAGGAGTGGAAACCTACCTATAGGCGATTTGTGAATGCTGACGAGTCTTAAACATAATGCATCTCTTCTTTTCCAGGGCCAGAGTGGAAACCTACTGGTCAGGGTTAAGAGAGATAGTTGTCTATGATCACCTCATCCTGTGTTTTCTCATGGGCAGCTCTATGTTGCAATATCTTGGGTAACATCGAAGAAAGGCTTGAAAATACTGATAGTAGATAGAGATGGTAATCCACAAAGGCAAAAAATGAATGTTGTATTCAAAGAAGTATTTCGGAATTTAGGAAATGATCGTGATGATTAAAAAGTTATGTTTTTCATTTTCGTATTCGTTCCGTTAATAATATAATGCATTCATTATTTAAAACTTTTTTTTTATGTTTTATTTAGCGGTGAATGTGTCACTGTATTCATATGGTTATTATATGATTCGGCTCGGTGTTGTATATCGTTTGACGTTGTTATATTTTTCAATTGAACAATATATGTCGAACCAATTGAAGTATTATTTTGTTTTGAAATACAGTGTCATTTGGTTAATTGTTTTGGGTTTTTATGTAAAAGTGTTATGTTTGATATGGCCCATTTATGATAGAAACTAGATAGAAGTTTATATTTTGGTATAATGACCGTTTGTATTTGCAACTTTTTATGCTTATATTTATTTCGATCGAGTATATACGGACCAATGTTTACCTTTATATATATTGAAATGGTAGTTTACGATGACGTGTATGAGATAAATCAGTCTCGAACAGATTGGATTGTATGTAGTTCAGACAATGAATTCGGTAAGGTACACTTATAGTATTGGTGTCTGACACAAAGGTTTAGTTATGATACACTATAGTTATAAAAAAACTATTTATTTAATGTTTTAGGCTTTACAACTTGCGAATAACAGTATCATAAAGAATGTGTTGAATCAATTGTCTTATATATAATTAGACTTGACTTTTGAAAAACTATATTCATCTATTTTTGTTTAAAATTGATATTATTGATTGGAAAATAGTTGAAAGAGATAAAACATTCAGCTAACAAGATATTACTTTGAAAAGTACCTCACAAATTAAAAATTAATCAATGCACAAAATACAGCTACATAGCAACCTCGATTGCATCTAAAAGAAACATACTGTCTATTTACTTTAGTGCATGCACTCGAACTTACCATCCTTATGTGTCAGACCTATATCTTACAGCAAGCAGATTTCATTTCATGTAAGTGAATTATCACATCAATAATTGTTTATGGTTGCATGCTAAAGTAAATAGACATTATGTTATTTTAGAAACTAACCATCATGATTTACCAAAGGATATTTACTTATCACACTTATATTATCCATATTACATGATATATCAAATCAAAAATGTAGCAAACTAATTGTTAAGTAATCGCATTACTTATCGTTTAAGACAATATATAGTATATTCAGTTGTTCATATTTTTGGTAGATAATATATTTAAAAGAATATTGTATTATTCTGACAATTTGCTTATATAAAATGTAGTATATATATTGACATGAATTAAGACATAAAAATATAGTAGTGCATTCATTGTATATAAACCTTCTTAACTGCACCGATAGTTTTAATAATTACGGTATTTATTTAGTAAGAAAATCGAACCGGTTCGAAATTTATTGAAGTAGTGCACCTTTTACTGTTGACGACAATTCTATTTTTTTGTCTTCTATATATAACCCGTCTTCATAACTGATAATCAACCCTGCATTCGAAGATATTTTGTTAGAAAAAAATAAAATCTCAACGATTTAAGTTCTCTAACGATGTCTTACTATGACTTGGTTAGTCAACTCACACCATGGCAAGATAACTCTGTGATACGTGTTGTGATTTACAAGAAGTGGATTGAGAAAGATAGCCGTGTTCGGGATTGTGTGGAAATCATCTTATGCGATGAAGAGGTAAATAATATTAGATTTCTGTTATCTCGGTTTTTTAGTATTTATGAATTTTTATCTATAATAGTTAAAAAAATTTTCTTTAAATATATCGTTTTTAGGGATGCAAAATTCATGCTGCTGCTTATAACTGGATCCATGAATATTTTCGAAAAGAATGTCACGAAGGAGATTGGTTTGAGTTTCGTAATTTTATTGCGAAAGCTACTGACTGGAACAATTGGAACGAGCGCCCAACTACTCATAATTACAATATTATTCTTACGGCATGCTTTACAAACTACCAGAAGCGATATTATTCTTGAACTTAATCAAATTTGAAGATATTGTGAATAGGAAAGTCGATCCTGCGTTTCCTATTGGTAATATTTACTTTCCTGTTTAAGATATTTACAATGACTGTTTTCTCTAATATTTAATCCATTATTCGTTATGTCTTATAATCGTTTTTTTTTAAATAGATTTGGTTGGTGTGATCGATTATGTTGGTGAAATTTCAATGGACAATGAAATTGAGTCCACTTCAAGAATACATCCAACAAAATGTTTAGAATTTCATATAAGAGATCTCGAGTAAGTATCTTTTTATTTTTTAAGATTGTTTTATTTTTTAAGTATTCATAGTTTTTTTTTTGTTATCTGTATACATAGTGACGTCATTATCAAGTGTTTTGCAATTGACCAATTTGCAAGTTGTTTCGATAATACGTGGAAATCGAGAAAGTCTGATCGTGTTTTTGTTCTATTAACTGAGTGGAGACTTGGGGTCTATAAAAGTTAGTAACCACATGTAAATTAAATTTTTATTTGTTTCTGAAATTATACAAAATTATATTACTGTGTCAATATTTAGTTTTATATTTTACTTTGTAGGTAAACATATTGTTAGAAACAGAGGAGGTCAGTCTCGATTTCTTTTCGACCTAGAGATTACTGAAGTTCAAGAGTTTGCTTACATGTAAGAATTTGAGTGAAGTTGTAATATTAAAGTACAGTTAATTTTATGTTTGCTTATATAATTTTAAAAACTTATTAAACAGGTTTGTTTTAGCCGGCAAAGAATCTAATATCAAACCAGGGAACTAAGATGATGCTCGAGTAAAAGCGACTATATTCAAGCATCTATTGTCTAAGGAGATATGTCCTCCTATTACTTTTATTCAAGCATCTATCTATGGTCTTTATGTATTTCTGTAGACTTATTTTAGTTGATAGTTAATTTTATCATTTTACTTAGTTAGTTACTAATGTTATTAAATTTAAATCATCTTGAAATAAATAAGTCTCATTTATGTACACAATTAAATTCACTTAATTTTTTTCTTTTTAAAAAAAAACGAGTTTCAAAAATATAAATTAGGTTTGCCTTTATATCTTCCACACCCTTCCCCACAACGCCTTGGTAGTTAAAGTACGTCGTCTATTTCGCTTTATAAGAATATATCTATCAGAAGAAAAAATCATCCACTCTTTCTTATCTATAATTGTCTAAAATCATGGATTACCCAAGAATCCATAGAGATGAGATGAAAGATTTACGTGACGTTGGTCAATATTGGGCTATTGATGCGAAGATTTTGAATATTTGGAGGCAACCTTTAGATGGCAGAGAGAGTATTCATATGATACTGATGGATCATAAGGTACAATTGCAGAATATGAATTTATTATTTTTTTTACTAAATTTGTTATCATATTGATTCTTCTTACATGTTAATTCCTATCTGATAACACAGTATTTTGATCACTTTTATGGATCGTTTTGAAATACTTTTTCCATGTTTTTAATTGCTTTTAAGTACTTTTATTACGTTTTTTCTAGTATTTGTAGTCAAACTTTCAGGTAACTTTGGGAAAAGCTTAACAAAATGGATAGAAAACCAGACTTCAGCTCAGAGTCAAACCGTCAGAAGTTCACCCCCTTCTCACCGTCTGATCCAGCTTAAATTTGGAGATCTTAAAGATGGAAGTATCAGCTTTCCAGCATACTTTACATCTTGGCAATCCAACTGTTCAATCAAAAGATACGCCAAGAGCAAGATGTCTCGTAAACCAGCCGGCAAGCGTTTCCACCCGCGACCAACAGGCCATTTCCCGCGGTCACAATCATCCCGACTGCGGCCAGCCACCCATTCCCCGTGGTCGCACTCATCCCGACCGCGGCCAGCTAACTCCGACTCCGAAGGCCCATTTCTGAAGCCCGTATCATTTTCCCAGCCTTGATTCCGGAACCCTAGACCCTAGAGATGTCTTAAGCACTATAAATACATGTTTTAGGAACCCTAATTCGTATGACCACATATGCTCTTATTGTTTTAGAATACTTTTTAGGTTTTAGGTTTTAGGGAGAGAGAGATTTGTCTCTTGAACCCTTGTTCTTTCTTTTTCAATTTTGGTTTCTATTCTACTTTTTAATACTATGTTTTTGATTTCGTTCATCATGTCTGAGTAGTTTTATTATTGGGATTAAGGGATTTTCGATGGGAATATATATGTTCGGTGAGGATTCCATTGGCTTTTGAGCCGAATCTTAAAACTTTTTCTTCTGAATTCGTTTTTACTGCATGAGAGTAGCGTCATGAACTACAATCTGATCCAGATGCTTGGTGAAACGAAAGTGTTCATCCGGTGTCAGGTCTAGTTTGGGAGAGCAAAACAAACATAGGAGTGGAAACCTACCTATAGGCGATTTGTGAATGCTGACGAGTCTTAAACATAATGCATCTCTTCTTTTCCAGGGCCAGAGTGAAAACCTACTGGTCAGGATTGAGATAGATAGTTGTCTATGATCACGACAGTGGCATATTCATACGTCCGTGACTCCAGTTCGAAAAGTTTAAGCTAAGATCTTATCAAATTTACTCTCTAGCAATGTTTTGAATCGCTCATACCCCTGAGAAAACTGATAACACCGGATTTTGACCATTTTGATGGATCACTTTAATATCTTTTACAGGTGTTTTTACTCCATTTTCAAAGGTTTTCAAAGGATTTCTATGTTTTCGGATTTTAAAAGACTTTTCAGGTAATTTGGGATAAAGAGGCACAAATTGGAACAAAAAGACTCTTTTGGATAAATGCAGACCGTCAGAACTCTCATGGAGAGACGACGACCTTCTCACCGTCTGATCACCCTCAAAATTGGACAACTTATAGAAGAATCAACCAGCTTTCAAATGCACTTGGTTTGGAGACATTCCAACGGTTGGATCTCAAGATATTCCATTAGCCCCGGAGCCACTCGAAGACGGCCAGCAAGTCACGCGACCGCGGCCAACAGCCCATTCCCTGCAGTCACAAGCCTCCCGACCGCGGTCGGCTAACTCCGAACTAAAGCCCATATTTCTGAAGCCCAAAGTCATTCTCAGCCTCAATTCCGGAACCCTAGAGACCATGGAGTATTGAAGACTATAAATACTTATCATTTAGGTCGTCTTTAGGGAGAACCCTTCATACTTTACAGAAACCCTTTTCCTTTAGCTGTTTTGATGCGATTTTTGTAGAAGATTGTTCAAATCCGAGTTCTTCAATAGAGAAGCTTGTTCATCTCTTTTCTTTACTGTTTTTGATTACTTTTATTAAAACCAATGATGATGTCGACCTCAGCCATGTCTGAGTAGATCCCGAGTAGGGCTTAGGGTTCCCGAAAGGGGCTCTCATAATCAGCCATATCAAAAACGTAATTTAAACAAAATATCCTATTATTACGGATAAACTAAAATTCGCAATAACTGTCAAACTCATTTGAATAGATATGCAAGATTACGTATGCGAATTAAATCTACTTCAAATCCTGTTATGATATCCATTATTAATTATACCAATAATTATTGTTACCAATTATAACAATTGGCAATATAATAGGGTACACAATTCTAACCACTATCACATATCTCATTTTGGTTTTTTCCCATATTTATTGAACACAATATATTCTCATAAATGTATGTTACTTATCATATTCCTTAAATTTTGAAATAATATAATAGGTGCTCATCTTTGAACTTATATCATAGGATATTTCAAATTTATCCCGTTTATATCGCATCTCCGAGTATATAGACAATTACAACTACTTTACAAAAACAACGTTATTTGATATTAGGCATATCTATTTCAAAAGTTTAAATTTCACGAATATTCTTGGCCGCCAGTTAATGGACATTTAATGGCTTATCAATAAACCCTATATATTTTTTATTATAAATATACAACTCTTTCTTCCAAAACACTCCTCATCAAGTTTCGTTTTCCTCTCTGTTTTGTTTTGTTTTTCAATGTTCTTATGGCTTCCACAACGATGCTAACCCCTTTAGCTGACGTTAAGCCTTATAGGACTGGGTGGAAGGTTCAAGTGAAGGTGATTTATACATGGAAACAATACCAAACCAAGAGTGGGGAGTCTTTGGAAATCATCCTGGCCGATGAAATGGTACAATATATTATTAATCGACACTACTTTTAAATATTTTGATTGTTCTGTTAAATTTTTTAACTTTTTGATCATCCAGAGTACCAAAATCCATGCAACTGTCAAGAAAAACTTTTCATTACAACTGTCAAGAAAAACTGTCAAGAAAAACTTTTCATCATCGTTTTGAACGGATGATGGTTGTCGGTGAATGGAAGTTCATAGAGAACTTTTCATTTAATCAGGCTTCAGGACAATACCGGACCACCAGACATCAATTTAAGATGTCATTCATATCCTCTACAGTTGTCAGCAAAACTTCTAATCGGTCAGACAGTCTGTTTTTTTATTTCTCAGAGTTTGTTACAATATTGGACGATGTAACCAATACAAGTTTTTTGGTTGGTAAGTTTACTGATATATTTAATTTAATTTGTTCATTCCTCTTAGTTTCAATAAATCTCTGACTTTATTTTCCTAAATAGATGTTATTGGACAACTTGAAAGTGTCTGTGAGTTTCAAACAATATCTGTTATGAATAAAGACACCAGCAAACTCGAGTTCGCTCTACAAAATGCTAAGTGAGTATATATATAAATACAGACACTGTATTTTTTAATTTTTTTCTTTCATCTGTTTTATGTGATATGTGTTACAGTGATGAACGTTTACCATGCACACTGTAGGGAAAGCTTGGTGAGGAAGTCTATTCGACTTGTCGGAGTGCGGGTGAAAGAAGTGTCATTCTTGTGATCTGTTTTGCATAATAAACGTTTTCAAAGGTACATATTAAATTTTTTTATTCATAAATTTGTTCTTTTCATAAATTTGTTAAATATTGTAGGTGATTGTCGAATTACAAGTAGTTGTCAAACAACAAAGGTTCTGATAGATTTGAATGATCCCGATGTCATTGTCTTCAAGAATAGGTAATTTGTCTATGTATATTATATATATATATGTCTTATCATTACGATTATGAATATAACTAATACTATTACCTATTCTTAGTTTACCTGAGCATTGCAGACGTATTACCTTCTTGAGTAGCAAACCTCAACAAAGGGTTTCTTATGGTGATGAGATTCATTTCGATCAGTTTCCAATGGTCACTATTTCAGAATTGCAAGATTCTCTTGAGGTATATGTCATTTTAAAACTTTGCTAGGGAAACCGTCACAGATTATAAAATTTTGACATTTGTATTTTTGTTTCCTCAGGTTGGGAAATGTAAGATCATGTGCACCATCTACGCGGTTGACATAGACTGGTCGTGGTTTTATTTGGTTTGCACTAGGTGTGGTAAAAAAGTGTACAAAAATCCAAAGAAGGAAGATCAAAAAATGACCAAGAAGAATAAGACCCTTTATTCATGTGAAACATGTGATGCAAAAGTGTCCTTTGTGAGTGCGAGGTAAAATTTTTTACTATTTTTTAGTATTTGTCTTAATTATTTAGCTAACCGTGCATTCGAGTATTTTAATACAATCTTTATATATTGCTAGGTTCAAACTTCATCTTGGCGTTATGAACGATACCAGCAAGATCAAATGTTTTCTTTTTGATAGAAATGCACAGGATATTTTAAATCAGAAAGCTGATGAAATTCTCAAGGGGAACTTCGATGAGGCATTAATTATAAATCTTAATCAATGATACAATTTTAACCCTTTATGAATAAAGACTTTGTTTGTTTAAAATGTCATGTTCGTTATATACTTAGATACAAGATCCGGATGTCGTTCTTGAAGCACTGTAAAACTTGATTAGGAAGACTTTTCAGTTTCTGATTTGTGTTGAGAAAGAAAATCTCTATGGTGGTAGTAATACATACAAAGTCGGGAAGGTTTGCAAAGGAAATGATATTTTATCCGCTGATGAGGTGAATGAATCTGAAGATATGGGTGATCAGAGTTTGCTCTTGTCAGGGAATAAGGTACAATTTCGAAAAATATCAGCTTGGGTTACATATAATAATTTGTATATATTAATACACGGTATTTGGCATTTTATGTTTATATTTATATGTAAACCTTGTAGGTGTCGCTGATAAACACGTTGAGGCAAGAGCCTTCTTATGAGGTGGAAATTTGACAAGGGACTCGCTCATGGATCTGGAAAAGTGATGGTCTTGATATAGCGAAAAAATATGGTTATTTGAATTCGTATCTTCTCATGTTATTTCGCTAATATTGTTCAAATTTTTGTTGAAATTTGTTCGGATGATACTCATGCATTTGTTCTTGAACTTTAATAATTTATTCTTTTAATTTAACCATTACTACGTTTACGTTATTTTGAAAATTACGTGTGTATCGTGTTAATTTTATTGGGCCGAAATTAATATTGCCTCACGTTTGCAGTGACATATTTGAGTAGTTACTATAATATATGTATGATGATGAAATTGTAGATGAATCATACACTTAATTCGGAGTACATATCTTATTTTTATATTTTTCAACATATTTTCCAATATTTATAGAAGATATATTCATTTATTTGTAAATGCTATTCTATGGGAATTTGTGAAAATTGAGTCAACTCTTAGTTAATATGTTTTAATTAGAGCAGAATTTTGGAGAATATGAAACACACGGATGAAACATGAGTAGTTACCTTACTTTTTAAGACTATAAATAAAAGTAGAAGGAAACTTTCTTCACTCAAATACAATTCTTTCTACAACTATTCCTCTCATGTGGTCCTCAGACAGACGTACAAAAACTATCTTTACATCCAAGAAAAAAAAATTTTCTCTACTAAATATTTTTTATACATCTGTCAAGGATCACATCAGAAATAAGTAGTTTATTTCATTTCTTAAACAGTATTTTTTACATTTATATTATTCACCGTAAAAGGTCAGATTATTATTTCTTATATGCTCATCTATGTAGTTTATACCTAAGTAAATTACTAATTTAAATCTCAATTCATTTTTTTATGTAGATGTTCGTGGAATTAATTATTAAGTTTGTAATTATTATCTTATAAATTTCATTCAGCTATTAAGCAACATTATTTAACGTAAAGAACAGATATAATAATTTAGTGAATGAATTTTAACAAAAAATAACACTTTATATAGTGAGAAAATTTGATTGCATATATAATATATAATCATATTGAGTGAATGTGTAAATTACCTAATTATATACTGTCTTAACGATTTACAATATGAAATTAATAAATTATAATATTTTTAAAATATACAGCATGAAATTGTAATGGCAATGTTTTTAATATGCTTCATATCTATGGCAAGTAACAATAATTGTTATGTACATAATTCGATTTATGGTAAATTATTCATATATGTGAATGATAATTTCACATAAATTTATTTAAATTGGTTATGTTCATTTATCAATTTTTAGTTTGAAATAAAAAGAAATCTTTACATATCATAATTGATTAATAGATATTGTTAAGATTCACTTGTAAGATTTGCGGCCGTAAATTTAACCTAAACTCTTTCGTTTTATTCTGAGTCTATCTTCCCTCCCTAATCCCATCAATTTTCGCTATATTTTGATCTTCACGGAGAGGTTTTATGAGAGGTTAAATTATGCCTAGATATTAAACATGTTGATCGGAAAAATAAACAGAAGACTTTGCTGTCTGGTTGGAGCAGCCAAGTTAATAATTCAGGGTCATCATCTACTAATTCGTTTACTCAGAACTCAGATATAGTGGATAATCATTTTGAAAACGAGATCAAAGTTCATTCGCTGTTTCCACAAATTTTGGTAGACAGAACAAATACTGAATCCCTAACTAGAACACATAATCAATTTTCTCCTACTGTATGTGATGGACTAGAAAACTGTAAGTCTTCTTAAATTGATGTTTAGAAACTAGTTTCTTTAAATCTTATATTATTATTGTTAACACAATGGTTATAAATCATTAAACTTTAGTATGCGACATTATTATTTCAATAATTCAGCTTTACATACTCAAACAAATTATACTGGGAAAGAGAATTCTTTCACATTAGAAAAGAGAAATCGGAAGCAACCAGAATCACTATCTTCATGTGAGTTATATATGTTTAGCGTATTATGGTCCTTTATATATAATGTACCTTAATAAGTATTGGTTTTCGTAATTTTTATTTTATTTATATAGCCGACCTATCCCAGTTGACATCGACGAAGTTAACTAATTGTGGGTCAAGTAACAAGTCAACCAAGTTTGTTTTCTTAGAAAATGGAGATTCATCTTGTATACGGAATACATATGCTATATCTTCGTATGAAGATTATAAATGTAAACAGGAGATTGGTCAGAACTACAACGAGAATATTCTTCACCATCAACATCGTGAAGGTGACTATTTATATTGCAACTAATTTTGTGGCCAGAAAATATCGTTCACTTGTAGTTCGTATTGTTTTACATTCGTCTGTCAGTACATGTTGATTATAGTAGTCTTGGTGTTGATGATACCAAAGATATGTATGATGATGTCGTCTTCCCAAACAAATACTAGGATTCAGAAGGTAATATTTTGTTTGCTGTATTGACTTAATGTGCAATTATATATACTTATACTTTTTAACTAATAACAATTATATATTTTATAGTTGAGTATGATTATGAACAGCGGTTTTACTGTAGCAGTCTTGATGGTTCGTCTGATGAGGAAAACTATATTATGGATGAAGCTGGCGAAGAAATTTCATTTGACAATGAGGAACCTGAAGACTATGTTTATGATGTCAATAGTTTAGCTACTATTTTGCAGAAAGCGTTTTCTGTAGGAGTCTCTAATAATAATATTCCTTTCAGCGAATATAAAGGTATTTATTTTCAAAGCTCAATCTTATGTTATGTGATTCACATATTAATTTATTATAATGTCGGACTACTTTTATATTCAGAATATAAAGATGATGGCTATCCTTCATATGAGTGTAATTATTGTGGTGCAATTTTCTGGTATGGTGAATGTTTAAACAAAAGAAGAAGAGCAAATAATCCTATATTTTCTTGTGATGTTTGCAAAGTCAAGTAAAGCTACCATACCTTCGAGAGTCTCCATAGGAATTAATGCATCTTTTTACATCTGCCGATGATCTAAGCAAACATTTTCACGAGAATGTTAGACCATACAATGTGCTATTTTCAATGACTTCTATTGGAGGTAAAGTAGTTAGGTCTATCAAAAAGCGGTGTGGACCATCAATGTTTCAGCTTAACGGAGAGAATTATCATCTGATGGGAAGTATGCTCCCTAAACCTGGTGATGTTGCAAAGTTTTATCAGTTATTTATTGTTGACACCGATGAAGAAGTACAAAATCGTTCGACCATTATGAGGTAAAAGTAATGATTGAATTCATATTTATTATTAATAATAATATATTTTTCTTGCAGCAAAAGTAAAAATCCTATGAAGGTGTCTAAATGTAAACAATTCAAGAATGAATTAATTGATAGGCTGATTAAGATGTTAGATAAGGTGATCCTTTACGTGAAGAATTTTCGAGCTGCTAGAGATAGATTAAAAATGGATCCCAACGAGGAGCTTCATATAAGACTTATAAATGATCGCCAGAAAGACTCAAGGATATATAATATGTCTACTGCGTCTGAAGTGGCTGCGTTGATCCCTGGTGATCTAAATGAGGATATGTGTAAGCGTGATATAATATTTCAGAAATAAAGCGGTAAGCTGATAAGGATTAGTGAACTTCATCCTTCATACATTGCTCTACAGTATCCTTTGAATCTTCCGTATGGTGAAACAGTTTCCATATTGCCATTGAAAAATGCTTTGCAAAGACTGGAAAGAAGAAACGGAAACGAGAATATATTAGCATGCGACAGTTTTTTGCATTTCGTATACAGGAGCGAAAGAATGATTGTAACACTTTGCTGCAGGCTAAAAGGTTATTCCACCAGTTTCTGGTTGATGTTTTTACTATGATAGAGGCAAATCGTGTCGGCTATCTTGACAAAAACAAGACATCACTCATATCTGAAAATCTTGATTCAATAGAAGATGCATCAAATAAAGGTAAAAAGAATTTGTGTGATCAAGGTAGAAAAACGTATTTGCCTCCTTCATTCACTAGTGGACCTCGATATATGACTCAATGCTACTTGGATGCAATGTCTGTATGTAAACATTTTGGGTACTCTGATCTTTTCATCACCTTTACATGTAATCCAAAGTGGCCAGAAATCACAAGGTATGTGAACGAGCGGAAACTCATTTTTGATGATAGACCAGATATAATTTGTCCGGTGTGCAAAATGAGGCTAGATTCTATGATGATGGGTTTTGCCGATAACACACTTGGTATAAGAAAAGTTGTTTCTGGTTAGTAACTTTGGCATTCTTTAATATTTACATTTGTAATATCAATATTATACAGTTTATTCATTGATATATATTTTCGTAATTTCAGCCATGTACACCATAGAATTTCAGAAGAGGGGTCTACCGCATGCACATATTCTATTGTTTTTAGATCCAACTTCAAAAAATCCTCCTGAAAAAATCGACAATGTTATATCAGCTGAGATACCCGACCGATATGAAGAGTTAGAGCTTTATGGAATTCTTTCAGAAATGATGATTCATGGTCCATCCGGTGATCTTAATCCAAGATCACCATGCATGTCTCAAGGGATTTGTACAAAAATGTATCCTAAACAGCATATTGAGACGACAGCTATTAATAAAGAAGGTTTTCCTTTGTATAGGAGGAGGTCACAGCTCAAGGATTACGTTGACAAAAATGGATACAAATGTGATAATAGATTTGTGATACCCTATAACAAGAAGTTGTCTCTTTGTTATCGAGCTCATATCAATGTAGAGTGGTGCAACCAAGCTTCTTCCATTAAATACTTATTTAAGTATATAAATAAAGGGTTTGATCGTGTTACGTTTGTGATTGAGCCTTCGCAAGCACAGAATGTGAAAGCTGATGGAGCAGATAACAGTCATTGTGATTCCACACATGAATGTCAAGCAAAGAAGAAAAATGAGATTAAAGACTTCCTCGACTGCAGGTTCATTGTCAACATTTATATTTGAACTACTGGCAGAATAAAAACTATATATTTCATTGAATA